TACATATACCCAGCAGCAAAAAAACATCAGTACGAATTCAAAATTAGATAGGCACTGTATTCAAATCATTACAGAAATGGACATAATAAGCGGATCAAAAAACAATTTTTGTGTACAATATCTTCACACATCAATGAATAACGCAGCACAGGTTTAAGACATTACGTGAACGTTTGCGGTCCATTCAGACTCTTGACTTCAGTATCTAGTGTGACCACCACGAGCGGCAATAACTGCAGCACAGCGCCTATGCATGGAGTGCACCAATCGATTGATGAGGCAATTGGCACCTGGAACACCACTCTGAGAAAGGCCTGGAGCAATAAACCGCCTGTGTTCGGCCTTGGTATGACATTATTCAGTCTCCTCTGATTTTCATCCCAAAGATATTCAATTGGGTTTAGATCAGGACTAAAGGCTGGCCACTGCTTAATGTTGACACCGTTCTGCTGTAGTCCCGTGTAGCTCTGGCAGTATGGGCCTGGTCGTTGCAAAATGTTGCTCCGGTGACGTGCGAAATGTGGTATTACGTGGGGTCTGAGAGCATGGTCGATGTAACGCACCGCTGTGATGCCGCCTCCTCTCCCTGGACCAAGATTCTGGAACACCACAGGACCCACTCTCTGGTTCAGGCCTATTCCACCCCATACCATGATGCTTGCACCTCCAAATGAGTCTCTTTCCATAACACTGGCCACGTCGTCGCCATATTCTTGTTCTGCCATCTGCAGTTGATACGCAGTACCGACTCTAATCTTTGAACAGAACAGTGCCCCATTGCCTGTATCGCAAGTTTTGGTGTTGTAGGGCAAACAGTAGACGTTCACGTCGATGACGAGTGGTGAGGATAGGTCCACGGCAAGGTCTACGACAATGGAGGTTCCAGCTTTTAAGACGTCGGCGTACTGTATCAGTGCTGATTGGTCTTCCCTGTGTTCCCACTGTCTGGCGTGCTGTTGTTTCGGATGCTGCATGAAGGGATTCTGTACATGCTGTCGCACAACATGGTGGTCTTGTCGTCTTGTGGTCACCCTTGGTCTGCCAGTACGGGGGCGATCATTTGTAGTGTTGGTGACCCGGAAACGTTGCTGCAGCCTGTAGCTGGTCCGAACGTTGACCTGGAAGTAATTGGCAACGGCTTGTGCAGTGTGGCCAGCTTCAAGTCTTCCTAGCGCCTGGTTCCTCTGAGCTGTCGTGAGTCGCGGCATCCTGCTGACGTTGTAATGTGAATGTTTCAACCAGGTTTGAGGGTGCATTTTATAGGGCTGGTCCTTGTGAACGGCACGTGCAGCATAAGTTGCATGAAAAGCATGAAGAATACCGTACCATCTCCGAGATCAGGTTGCGTTTTTGAGACAATTTCCTGGGATCCATTCTGAGTTTGGGAAGGAATGTCTTTGCTCAGGTAAAGTTGGAGTTATTGTAAAAAATATACAAATTTAATAAATGAGTTTAAAGTTATACGTTTCTGCGAAGGAAAATTCCAAACCGACGTTCTTTTGCTGCTTAGTATATATGCCTGGCACTACAAACACACACTCTTCTCCCAAGATACACACAACCGTCACACTACATACACTGACTCTTCTCCCTTCATACAGGTATCCCTGACACTACAAACACACACTCTTACCCCTACATACACACTCCCCCCCCCCCCGTAAAACCACACACTGTTCTCCCCACATACACATATCCGTCACACTACAAAGACTCTCTCTCTCACACACACAAACACACACTTCTCCGTACATATAGCTGTCACACTACAAACATGCTCATATAACACGTTTTAGTCCGAACACTATTTTAACCCTGCCCCGTTGATTAACACCATGTATGTCCCTTTTCACAAAGCGTTCGTAACGCTACGACTGACCATATTGACCCATTCGTCACCACTCGCCCCTTTCCGTAAACTCCAAGAAGATCGCTATTCGGCTTGTCCCGGAATAACACGAGATGGTCACGAATGATGACTAACTTCTTTAAGAAAGACTTACGTGTCACCTCGACACGAGGAAACAACCCCACTCTTCACATAACGGGTGGCCGAGACGTGGAATAAACCAAAATGTTTTCACGGAGATTGTATTCCCAATATTGTTCCCGGAATAATGAAATTATTTCTTATTTGTAACAAATATTTCATTAATCATTCCAAAAACTGGCAAAATACTTTCAACAGAGTGAGTGAGTATGTTTTTACGCTGCTTTAAGCGATATTCCAGAAACAACACTGCATGGGACACATGTAATGTGCGTCATAACGGTCAGTAGAAATACAAGATGTCTTCATAAAAGAATTGTCACCAGTACACCAGCCTAAATATGTAAATCATAATATCAGTAGGGCTGTGTATTGGCAACAAAGTGTGTTGCAATATATTGCGATTCAGATACCCGTATTGCGACATATTAGAGGCTTAAGTGTTTGACAGTGAGCGACACTAATTGTGCATGTCAATCCTATTTTCTACATTATAAGTCCCTAAACATATATGTTATGGTTCTGATAGCAGCAATCTCTAAATTAGGTTGTATAGTCATGGATTCTAGTTTCCCTTTTATACAATTTATAGTATTACAGTATGCAGTTTTGTCATTGAATAAGAAAGGAAAACATTGGTTGTGAATGAAAGTCTGACTCTGTAGATTTCAAAGTATATCATAGAGATAATCACAAACACCTCAGATATGCTCTTTACCCAACATACCGGTTCTCAGACAAAATATTGCAGTACGTATCGTTTGAAAAGCGTATTGCGATATACCGGTTTACCGGTAATACCGTGCAGTCCTAAATATTTGAAATTTCGTCGTTCTTCCATCCCAGGAAGGTGTCGTCCCACGAGGCCTAAAATTATTCAATTGGGTAGGTACAGTTCGTTAGGCTATGTGGGACTTCATCCCTCATTGGTTTTATGGGATTACGGTGGATTATTGCTGGACTGGTCCATTATTGACCACAGAAGGGGTGAATCATAAGAAAAAACAAAAATCAAATATGATTGTGAAATATCTTTCTCAGTTCTTGCCCGGTCCAGGAGTGTTCTCTTGAAGTCGTCTATGTTGAAGATGTAGGGTGGTGCTTCATGGTTGTGTCCCAGATCCAATCTTCAGTGGGCGATCATCTTGTGTGTGAATGGATCCTTTACAGCGTGGCACTGTACATGTCCAGTAGCAGATGTCATCTACCTGTCTGGTTGACTTTAAACTTATGTCCTGCATAGTATGCAAATCTGCCGTCACAAGCATTGGGAAGGTATCTGACATTAACTTGTGCATTCGCCATAGCTATGTAGATATCGATATAGCTACAAACATATATTATAGCAAGTTTCGTCCTTCTCATGTTAGTTAGAGAAGGAAACTGAATAATATCCACTTCATGTAAATACTCCTCCAGTAATAATAGATCTAATCTTATTAAGATTAACAGTAAGTGCTTTCATCTTTTCAACCTTAATGTTTTCACAGTAGACAAGTCTCATTACTAAACTAACCCTAACAGAGTGACCCCCGTCCACTGATCAGTGGCCTCTCCCACTCTTGTTTGACACCCCAATTACCTCATTAAATTTATTAGGTGTGAAGTTTAGGCCTCGCGGACTGTAACCTCCAGGAAGGCGGGGAACTAGTTGCTTAGTATGACTTTCACTGATGGGTAGCGCCATTTTGGTTTGTCTAAACCTTTGAGTGTGTAAAAAGAAGTGATAATTATTTCCTCAGCACGTTTTAACCCACTTCCGGGTGGTGAGGTAAAAGTGGGTAAAGCGTTAACTCGTCACGCCGAGGACCCGGGTTTGATTCCCCACATGGGTACAATGTGTGAAACCCATTTCTGGTGTTCTCCGCCGTGATATTGCTGGAATATTGCTAAAACCGGCGTACAATCATACTCACCAGTCACATTGTGTGATTTGTACATGTTTTTTAATGAAAACATAGATATTTTTGGTAAATTAATTAATTATGAAATTTAAATGTTTAGGGGAAATATACCTTCTTTCGGTATATTTACCACGTCCATATTGTGCATGAATATGGCATCGGACGTTGTCGAAATCTCTCCAGAAACCAATCAATAGTTTCTAGCCAGTCGCATGCCGTTATTGCGAACTGTTTTCGCTGTGCTGCACGTCGCATCTTATCCAAGCCGTTAGTTGATGCAGTGCACCGAATGTTTCCCGCCAAATAATACATGTACAAAATAAGTGAAAGCAAAGCAACGGAACAATTATTTTTTTTAAGGTTTCACCTAGTTATTAGGACCAAAAAACAACCATGCGGAATGACAAGATTCTTAGATCATAATGCAGGAAACGTAGTCTTAAAAGAAAACACAACCACTGGATAGTTATAGTATAAGAAATGTATTGTTGGTAATACCAGTACACTACAGACATATATGTAAGGTTATATGAAATTACAAAACTACAAGTTGTTGTTGTCTGTTATTTAACGCCGAACTCAGCAATAGTCCAGCTATAAGGCGGCGGTCTATAAATAATCGAGTCTCGATCAGACAATCCAGTGATCTAACCATACTAGACTGACTGACTGACTTAGTTTGGTTTTACGCCGCTTTTAGCAATATTCCAGCAATATCACGGCGGGGGACACCAGAAATGGGCTTCACTCATTGTACCCATGTGGGGATTCGAACCCGGGTCTTCGGCGTGACGAGCCAACGCTTTAACCACTAGACTACCCCACCGACCCTAACCATACTAGAACACATACTATAAATTTCATATTTGTAGAACTATAGTGCATTTTTGAAACATTGATATCGTACCTCATGGCTCTGTAGCAGTAGAAATAGCTCACTGTAACCCGTAAATGGATCGTTGGCCTTTGTCCGGAATAAAGAATTAACTAATGTTAGTGGGTAAGACGTGGTGAATTGCTACTGTTATGCAATAATTACGTCTCACGGAAAAGGGGTGGGCAAGAGTGCCCAAAATATTCAAGTCAAAGGTGACACAACACAAAAGGACAGTCATACAAATATATTGTGATAAAAGTCTTGGTTACTGGAAGCAGGTCCCGACTGCACAGTTCATATGACACCTAGAATTGCAATCCACAGATCGATATGGGATGTTGTCACCTCGACAGCGAGTATATATTTATGAGAATCAACAATAATCCAAGTAATACACAGGTTGTGTCGATAATACTTATTGGAGAAAACGTTATTATTAAAGAATATGTAAACACAATCCCAGGGAGTATTTACACAAATGATACATACATGTATACATTACATTATTATTGAATACAAGGTTACTTTACGGAAAGACTACAGAATACCGGATACCTTCCGCCATCTTTGAAAACTTTAGAACTGCGCAAAATATGTGCGCAAGTCGACTCGATATTTTAGGACTTCGTTATTTTAGTTAACTGACATTTTTAGCCCTCGGATATCCGTTACTATCTTCTTTAGGGTCAGTTTAACCAGGGATACTATTCTCCCTGGTTTAACGAATATGGTTAGGTTAGATTTAGGCAACCTTCGCTCATTCGCTTCAACTCCAAGAATTCCGTAGCTTTCTTTTTTCAAAGACGTATATATTTTTCATTCGCGATAATTTACCTTTTATTTTCAAAATCGTTTTAGTTTTACTAAACGGAAGTCGATTATTTTCTATGATTATTAAGGATTATTTTGTATTTTGATGCTCCCTTAGTTTTTCGAATTGTATGGCTCGTGCTTCCCTATAATACGAAGTTCACGTGGCACTAAAGAATGGTTGGTAGGTATCCAGTATTCTGTAGGTGTACCTACTTCACTTTCACACCAACATAGGAAACATACTAAAATATGACTCATATAACAACATGTGGGAGTACGACATATTCAGCAAAGAATAACTGTGATTCATATTTCACGGACTTAATTAGTATGTTTGCATGATGGTCAAGGCTAAGCCTGTTGTCATCGTCTGATTGCGTTATGCCAGACCTTAAGGGAACAAAAAAAGTAACCTTTTTCAGACGAAAGGTTTGGAGATTGCAATAATATTCAAATGCCAAAAATGACGCCGTAAATATGCAGTTATACCAGTATTACGTTGCAGGCATATCGGATAAGTTGGTTGAAGCGGGCTTTGCCATGTTAAGATAAACATGAAACAGACGATGATGGCTAGTTTTGTTTACATCCGGTTCAGCCATTTTGTATTATAACCGGAAGGGAGCCGAAGAATAGCCGAAGATGTGCTGCTCAATGCAGACCTCAGCAGACGACACCATGATGCTTTGACTGAGGATATGATTTGGGAATGGGTACAATACTACAACCACGTATTGATTTAGAATGCAGTAATTCTGTTGTTTAGAGCAACAATTTTGAAATAAGTAGAATTTGTAATTAAGCAATGAGCTAGAGACGATTTCGACAGGCAGACCAGACTTGGAAGGCTATGCAGTGGGATCTACTTCACTTTCATGGAGGAAGATCCAGTTGCCCTCTGGACAAACTGATGTTCTTTACTAAAATGTCATCCGCAGATTGATGTGAGGTGATGCTACCTCACGTTTTCCTCTTTCTTTGTCATGTGACAAAATAGACCCAGGGTTATTGGCCAAAAATTGTTTCTGTGGAATCCATGACACTAATGCCTTGAATCCTCAAACACTATAATTAGTAAAGGACAGGGTACTGAGTTACTTGTGCAAGGGATTGGGTTGGCTGGTTGGTTGGTTGGTTGGTTGGTTTGTTGTTTCACACCACACTTAGCAATATTCCAGCTAAATGGCGGCGGTTTGTAAATTATCGAGTCTGGACCAGACAGTCTAAGTGATCAACAAGGTACTGGAGCAAATATTCAGCCTTAACAAGAGTTTAGGCGTTAAAGGAGAAGATCATGCCCAGTCATTCTCGTCCACCACCCTGTGTTCAGCCTTGAACTTTTCAGCTTCTTTAATCGCTTCTTTCTTCTGCCGTTTTACTGTAGAATCTTCTGCTGGAGGCGGAGGTAAGACGGCTTTCATCTCCCTTTCAATCCTCTCTATCCTCCTCTTCACCTTTGTGTCAAACTCCAGCTGCTTCTTGGCAACAATCAACCCAATAGACACTGTGGCGTCCTGTGCCTGTCTTTGCAACTGGGACATCTTTCGTGAGACGGCACCTTTGTCGTTCTCTGCACCCAACGCAAGTAGCTCCCCAAGGCAGGCCACTTGATCCATCAAATGTTTCTCGGACACTTCAACATACATCTCTGCCAGGTTGTTCACCATGTACGACAGCTTGTTGGCTTCAGATGCTTGTATATAGATCATGTCCCTCATCATATCGGACATCGTGTACTCAAGACGAAACTCTGCACCTCGCTCAGCGCCCTGGATGAAATTCTTTACATTTTCATCCATACAGCATTTGATGATGTTTGAAATTGTTGTGAAAAATCTCACCAGCTTTCCCCACTGTGTTCGAACCTGTCCGAGAGCTTTGATACCTCTCTGCAGCAACTGTTTTATTTCATCAAAGTTGGTCTTGTCAAGGTTTAAATGTGCAAGTTCTTCAATGACTGATGTCACATGGGCATTGGTTTCCTGCAATGATTTGCTTTTGTTCTTGAAGTCTTTCCTGATTGACTGAAGTGAAGCGGCATTTTGTTCCACCTTGAATCTACATTGCTCACTATATCTTGCTGAAGCTGAACTGGAACTATCCTGCTCTTTTGTAGACATCATGGGTGTTGGTGGTTGAACTGACTCTCCAAATGCATGTGCACAGAATGTCTCCAGTGCTTTCATTCTACCTTCAAGCCTAACTGCTATCATCTTTGCTTCATTTTCCTGTGCCTGTTCCTTGGCAAGCTGCTTGCCAGCAGTCTTCATTATCTTAATGAGCTTACATCCGTCCTTTTTAATGTCCTTTACTCTCTGCTTACATACTCCCGAGTAGGATTTCAAAGCCTTAATAATGTCCTCAAAGGTTGACTCGACCGTCATGAGATGATCCAATTCCGTTCCCTGCATAATCTCTTCAAAATCTCCAACGAGAGTCTTTACACAAAGCGATAGTCCTGGAAGTTCCATCATCAGTAGAGCTTCCTTGTCTTCTTCTTTCTGCACATGCTTTCCCATGGAGGATTCTTTTTTTGCAGCCTTCCTTGAAATAGCATTGGTGACCGATTGGCAGACACCAAGAGTGCATTTGGCCAGCCCTTCCACGAAGTCCATACTGATCATACTCCAACCAGATGGCATAGAGTCCATGGCTTTTGTATATGATTCTTGGGCCTTTGTAAATTGGTTACGTAATTCATTGTACTCCTCTTCAGCGAGCCTCTTTCTTTCTTCTAATGACTGCAGTCTTATTGTCTTCACCTCATGATCCTTTTCAGCTTTAAGGAGTTTCTCAGAATACTGACCTTCAGCAAATGTGCATGCTTTCTGGAGTTCTCCTATCAAATCCATAACAGTACAAAATCGTGTCTCCACTTCTTCAGCTCGTACAACGCAAGTGTCAGTAATTCGTTTAATGTTAGCCAAGTAATCGGGGACGAGTTTGCGCACTTCCATTTCTGATCCATTGACAATGAACTGAAAAAAGAAACATGGCATATAGGACATTAAACATTTTCGTGGGGCAAGGACAGCTCAGAGAAGGAAGTCTGTGAGAGAGTTTTAGTTGTTTTGAATATAGAGACTTAAGGAGAGAGTCGGGGTAACTAGAGGGGAGTTTCAACGTGTCATTTAGAGTAAGATGGTGTTGAAGGAATGTCACTGTTTTGGAGGATTGTGTGAAGGAGAGAGCATCATTGTGTCATGGTATTTAAGAGAGTGGCGGGATGTCCTAATTAGACTCTCAAAACTCAATTTTTTAAAATAAATTTCTTAACATTAAATATCTAAGGGAAACTTTGAAAGAGCCTGTGATCAAATAAAAAAAAAATACTGATAGAACATTTTCAGGTTTATTCCATTAAGCGATGCTTCAGTTCAGAATCTTACTCTGTTAGCAATCAGCAGATACTAATGAAATTACAAATATGCATTAACTGAACATATCGTGCATATATACCTCTCATTACGTCATTGTAGTTATTCCAGCTTGATAGCAGTGTATGACACTTTATCAAAAAGACGAGAGTCATTGTGATTTGGAGGTATTTATTTGGGCTAAGGAGAAAGCCTTGAATTTCTGTGTTTTGACGACAAGACAGAGTCGGATTGTCTGGGAGTGTTGCGGGGTGCAAGTAAGAGAGTCTGAAGAGGCTCTCATTGAGAGAGCGTTCTGCTGTCCGTTCCTGGTGTTTGGCAGGGTGTTCTGAAAGATTTATATTATCTCTGTGGGAGAGACTCAGCGTGTTTAGCAGAAAGTCATGGGTGCAAGCGACATATTGTTCTTTAGAACCTGAGGTGTATACTAACATCCAGTACTTCATTCATCTATATTCAATTTCAAAATACTTACCTTGACAGCGTTCTTGACGTGCTGGGGAATCTGCAGTGTCAGCAGTCGTATCTGATCCATGTTTTTGTTGGCCAGGTTGAAGGCATTCCATCCTTCATCAGCAACTTGCAGAATGCTGGTCCGCATAGACTCTGGGTACTCGGTGTGTTTGAATCGCTCTCTTGTCATATGTTCCGACACAAGAGACACGTCCTTGTCCAGTGTGACGAGAACCAGTTGTCCTAGGAGACATACGGAGAGAGGTGCTGGGCACAGCATTTCCTGCCAGTTCATGTGAGGTCCGAGGACCAACATCATGTCCTCCTGAAATCAACAACAGGTGCAAGTGACATTGGGCTTTGTTCATCAGGATTTTGTGGTGGTCTGTGGGAATTTTTACATTCAACCAACATGTGTATAGTATTGTAATACGTGTCTGTATCTGTACTCGTTGAACAATGTGTGACATCGTTGCTAGTCATTATCGTATACAAAAGATGTGGATCATTCTTCTAGCTGTACACTATTGTTTTGGACAATTATCATTTGTTAACAGGTTGTTGCAAGTCTGTGTAGTTAACGCTTTCTTACCAAGGGAAGCAAGAACTGCCAAAATAATAAAAGCCAACCTTATAAAAAAAAAAAGCAATACCACGATTTCAACCCAATAAGACTACCACCAGATACCACTTTTTTCAAGAACCCTTCCTTTCAAAAATGCTACCTCTTATAACAGGTGCCTGTCCTGATCTGCTGTGTCCAAATAATCCTATTCACCCCAAATCATTACCTCCCACACCAATACCCCTTAACACCACCCTAATTCCAAAATTTCACCAATACCAGATGTAGCAGAATGTAAATATTGTGTATTTTAGTATATAATTTAGTTAAACAATATAACAACCCTTTAAATTAACACAGCACTCTACTGATCCTTAGGGTAAGTTATGTAAGCCTGCATGGGGTTCTATTATTCTTCAGACTCCTGGTCCAGCAACGGCTTGGCCAGTGATTGAATTGCTATTGTTTCTAGAGCATGTCACCAGATCTTGAGTTTTATGTACTCCAACATTCCTTTTTTCTGGTCACTGCTACAATTTCAACTCTCACTGCTACAATTTCAAATCGTTTTATCACCTGATCCACTGTGACGTATCATCCCAGACAATAAATCCCTGAACCCTGAAGTATTCGTCTGTGACCAATCTTGATGTGATACCGCTGTTACACAGACGCTTCCAACAGAATGCCATGACCTAACAAAACATCTGATCCAGTATCTTCCAAATACCAATACATCCAAAATCATCTACAGTACAATCTCTACCCCCAAATACCACTGCCTCCAAACTATGGTGACCCATATATGCTTCTTAACCTCCCTACTGCCATTAATGCATCTACTCGGTCAACTCACAAATACCACCACCTTCCGTGTATTGCTAGCACCCTAGTTTCCCTCACCTCCCTAATACCGTCTACCCAATAACGCTTCCAGGAAAAAAACTCTATAATACTAATACCTTGCTTATGCAATATTGCTGACAGTGTTGTTAAACAACAAACAAAATCCGTTTTCATAAAGAAAACTTTACCTTGACATCTTTGGGGCTCATCAGACCTTTTTCGGCCTTAGCAATCGTCTTCTTGCTGATTTCCGCCATGCCGTTTCACCTGAGGCACTAGAAGTCCTTCATTACAATTTAAAGCAAAGCTAGATCTATCGTATGCATTTAAACATTACATTAAAAGAAATACAGCAATGTCTTAAATACTTCACAGGTTGGTATACACACTTTCCTCTTTCCGAATCTGTGGTGCATCTAAAGCATCTATTTGTACTTCGGGCATGGACTTTGGGCAAATCCTACCTTTGCCTGATACTGAAGCAATGACTTGAGCATTTGTCACAAGAGTATAGCACATGGTACATGTAACATATTGCCATTTGTGAGATGTGAACTGCATTCCGAATGTTCAGGCCTCGAACAAGACCGTGGTTTGATTCGTTGGATAAAAACAGCGTCTTGACTACAAGCCGACTGTATGTATTTACACGAGATGGAGGAATGTAATATAACTAACACACAATGTTCTGTAGCTCTCCTATACAATTCGGGAGACACAAATTTATGACACTTGAACATGGTACCACCAAAATGAATAATGTACCAGTACCTGATGTCAATTCTACATGATATGAATATGGCACTTACAGAAAACGTGAAAGCAGTGTTAATTTCCCTTAAACGTTACGTTATTGTTAGTCTCTGCTCTTTACAAATATATAGTTCGTTCCAAACTACGTGAAAAAATAATTGTATTTTAGAATTACTGGAAAACTGTTCATTTGAAGGCTGTTTGTGCTAACACAGAATGTAAAACATAAATTCTTCATAAATATTAACACATTCTATGGCTTGTATGTTCTGGAAGAAGACTCTCGCAAGAAAATCCGTTTCCCAAACAGCCTAAAAACATCCACTCGATAAACCGAAGTCTCCATCTTTGACAAAACACACAAAAGCACAGACATATATTTTTAAAACTTTTGTTAATATTCATTTATAATGTCCTGACTCACAAATTCATGGCTTATGTTTTTTACAACTACAGGTATGTTTCTGTTTCCTTTCACCATTCATCGTCGTCATCATCATCGTCATCATCACAAATGGCCTGAAATACAGGACTAGCAAGCACCCTTTTCCAGAGATCGGGTTGAGTAATGAACTCCTCTAAACTGTCAAACAAACTCTTAAGAGGGATCCCGAGAACTGCTATATCATTCATGATGGCGGTTGTATCTCTTAGTACTTCTGCTCGTCCCGACACTTTACCCAGACGAGTCATCACCTTCCTCAATGCCGTTTGGACTCGATGTTGTTTGGTAATATGCTTCCTGTACATGTAAATATCATCTTCAGTTTCTTCCATTTCTTCCTCCAGTCTGATCTTTTCCCTTTTATGTCTCTCGATACTGCTTTGTGTAGTTTCACTTTCTTTTGTGATCTCGCTTAGAGCGTCTTCAGCACTGGATACTTCGGACTCAACCAAATCAAGAAAACCTTCTGCAATTTTAACATGCTGATTGAATATCGTTTCAGCTGCTTTGTCGACCACGTATCCGACTACAGGTATCCACCACATCGTATCTGTCACGTTCTTAACTTTATTTTTAATCGCGCTGGCTGCCTCAGCGTCAGATTTTGCCTTTTGCGCATGTTCCTCAAAATGGTCCACTTTTTTCTGGGCGCTTTCAACCTCCTCTTTCTGTTTCTTTAGTTTACTGGACAAAGACTCCAGTGAAACCTCCAAGCCTGCCAGAGATTTAATAATTTCTTTGTGTCTCGTTTGCATGCTGGATAACTCTGCCTCTTGTTCCCGGCACTTTCTGGTTTGACGACGGATGTGCTTTTCTAAGTCACCTTCAGCCTCGGAAAAGGCTTCAAAAGTCTTTTTTATATGTCGTTTAAATTTGCTATCTCCAATCTGTAGGGCTGTCATTAATTTGTCAATGCGCTCGACACCAGTCTCGAATTGGGAAACGACCAATCTGGGCAAAAGTCGCTTAGATTTTCCGAATGATACCGTCGCCATCTTCTGAAAGTAGGTATGGACTGAAATGAGTTTGCAGTTGTGATTTACCATTTGCTTGTTAACACAAGCTTGGTGTTTCATGCGAATATCAGAGCACACTCTGTCCTCTGTACACAGGACAGTGTTATAATCAGTATCAATTTCTTACAATGTGTGAGAGGGTGAATGACTCCATATGTTTTGACACTACTTTTAGCAATATTCCAGGAATATCATGCAAGTGTACACTAGAAAGGGACTTTATACACTGTACCCATGTGGGAAATCGACCCCATTCCTTTGGCGTCATGGTTGACTGCTTCACAAAACACTATAACACCACCAGTTACTACATGTAGATTAATATTGTTGTCATACTCTGACACCCTACTCACGCTATCAATCACTGGTGTGTCTGGTCCAGACTCGATCACAAAGGTAACGGTATTATAATATAAGAAAGGATCCAACTCAATTATTGCAAAAACAACAATCGTGCTATTAAAATGTATTATTTCAAGCATTCTCGACAACAGATGTAGATTTGTGTTTTGTTTAAAATCCAATCGCTCTTCATCCATATCCAATGGGTTGCCTCGTAATTGCAATACAAAATATAAACATGGGTTATTCAGTACCGTGACGTTGCGGATACACTGAAACATGGGATACACGGAAGCAACGTCAGCATTTCAACATTTATGCGCATGATCACTTCTCGTAGATTTTGGTATTCTGATTTTAGCGCTACCTTCAATAGGTTTAAACAAAGTTGTGTTGGTGAATGAGTACGGGGTACTGATCATAATGACAGCAATACAAAATCCTGCGAGAGACACATACAATTCCTTTACATTGTCTAGATTCACACATTAGTTGCTTACGGCATTCACAACTAAATTCCAACATTGCCAGTGATTACCGTGTGTTATCCCTGTGTATTATCAGTAATGTTTATATATTACGCACTTTTTCTCCAAAGAGACTTTCGCGTATGTATGACATGGAGAGCCGTATTTACAATTCAAAGATTGGTTCGTTTTCCAGGGGGTCCGGATTGGTCTGATAATGGAGATAGCTCAGGGCAGCTATTCTGATTATTGAGATCATTGTATTTGTCACGTACTCATTGACAAATGCCAGATAAGTGGCTGTCGTACCCAGACTGCGTTTCATGCCATTGAATTGCGTGTGCAAGACTCGAATATCTAAGGCGCCGCAATTCGCTGTAAAGAGTTGCCTCCCTGTCAGAAACTATGATTTGCCCCAATAACGATTCAAGGTCCATTCTCTAGATTAGGGACGTCCATTTTACTTATATTTACCGTCTGATGTTGTCACTTCGTGTTCTGTGTGACTCGTAAGTAAAAACAGCATTTCACATAGTCAGCTGTTTTTAACCTTATGCCATATTCTCGTATAACGTAGCAGTTTCATAAGGATATGACGCGTGAAGATCCGGGGTAGAATATGTCTTCAGCAACCCATGCTTGCCACAAAAAGCGACTATGCTGGTCGTAAGAGGCGACTGACGGGGATCGGGCGCTCAGGCTCGCTGACTTGGTTGACACATGTCATCGGTTCCCAATTGCGCAGATCGATGCTCATGCTGTTGATCACTGGATTGTGTGGTCCAGACTCGATTATTTACAGACCGCCACCATATAGCTGGAATATTGCTGAGTGCGGCGTAAAACTAAACTCACTCACTCATAGGGATATATGACTATATTATGTATGTGCATATCCATGTGAACTCAAAATACCTACCTGTTTTATATATTTACCAATTAATTGAAAAGATGTACAGCTTCACATATAAGACTATGATATGTATGTTGTAGAGTGGGGGGAAAATGGACATTAAAAAAATAAAAGTTTCATAGGGATCGTATCCTGAAACAATTTTCTGATGGAAAGCATCCGCCGTTTTCATGACAGAGTGACAGTTATGATTTAAATGTCCTGACTGACTGAGTTTGGTTTTACGCCGCTTTTAGCAATATTCAAGCAACATCACGGCAGGGGACACCAGAAATGGGCTTCACACATTGTGCCCATGTGGGGATTCGAACCCGGGTCTTCGGCTTGACGAGCCAACGCTTTAACCATTAGGCTACCTCACCGCCCCTTAAATGTCCTGTAGCTGTTCGATGACAAAACGGTTTTTGTCTAATACGCTTTCAATTGCTTCCTTTGCAGAAAGAAACTGAACAACAATATAAAACATTACCTTTGGTTGAGTTTTAGTTATTTGCCGGCATGGAATATTGTTTGAACTATTGTAGGCCAGGATCATAACTTCTAATGACTTATTACTTCCCAAAAATGCGTATGAAAATACATTCGACATCGTCACCGGTGCTCTGGTCGATTTGCTAAATCCCTGTTAGTGTTCTCTACGGAACCCATTAGGCAGTCCGTGCGAGAGAAACAACGCAACCCCATTTCCTTCTTGATTTTTCTCAAAATATTTTAATTTGTTTTGAATGGCAAATCTTTGTCAACTGCCCGTCTCAACGGTACACAAATTATTGAAGCAGACGGCGTATTTGTCAGTCTCCAAACATACTACTTCTGACCTGATCTCCATAAATCTACACTCTGTCGATCAGAAATAAAAGGTGCTCGAAAACACTCCAATAACTTAGGTAACTGTATCTTAATGCGGTGGAGAAACCAGTCTTAAATGGCAAAATGGCAAGGTACCGCTTCCGTTTTCATTCACCAGTCGTCATCACAAATGGCCTGAAATACAGGACTAGCAAGCACCCTTTTCCAGAGGTCAGGTTGGGTAATGAACTCCTCTAAACTGTCAAACAAACTTTTAAGAGGAATCCCAATCTCTGCTATATCATGCATGATGGATGTGGCATCTTTCAGTACCTCTGCTCGTCCTGAGACTTTACCCAGACGAGTCATCACCTTCCTCAATGCTGTGAGGGTTCTGTTTTGCTCGTTTATGTCATTCCTGAATGTAGAAATGTTCTTCTGAATCCTGTTCATTTCTTCTTCCATTTTGGTCTTTTCCTTTTCACGTCTTGTGATATCTTCTTGTGTATTTTCTCGTTCTTTTTCCATCTGACGTAGGGCGTCTGTAGCATTGGACAAAGCTGATGTGGCAGAGTCAAGGCAATATTTGGCATTATCAACGTATTGTTTCAGGACTGTTTCAGAAAGTCTCTTGACCGATGATCCAACAAACGGAATATATTTGGTTGCCTCTCCAAACGCCCGAACTCTTTCTCTTGCCATTCTGGCTTCTTCATACTCCGCTTCTGTTTTCTTTACGTCTTTTGTAAGAATTCTCCGCCACATCCTTCTGGGCACTTTTAACCTTCGCTCTTAGTTCCATGAGTGTATTTGATAACGCCACCAACGAATCATTCAATCCTGCCAGAGATTTAACAATTTCGTGTGGTGTCTGCTCTGCATTCTTGATAGTTCTGCTTCCTCTTCCCTGCACTTTTTGGTTTGATGATAACATATATGACCTTCTAACTCACTTTCAGCCTTAGAAAAAAGTCGCATATGCATTTTCTCGATAGAATGCTTAACATTGCAGTCCCCATCCTGAAGTGCAGCCATTAGTTTTTGTCAATAATCTGGAGGGCAGTCTGGAATTGTGGGACACAACCAACACAGCAAAAAATAACTTAGTTTCCCCAGTTTTTGCGGAAACCTAACGGATACTGGGTAATGTAGGTTTCCGCTAGGTTTCAGTATCCGAAACAGACAATGCGAGTTTCCGCATAGTTTACAAAACTGAAACTAACAAATCTAGGTTTCCGCCAAGTTTCTACAACTGAAACTATCATTATGCGTTTCCATTTAGTTTCAGTTCGCCGAAACATTCAAAGAGAAATGACTTTGTTTCATGCTATTGCGGAAACCTATTGGATACTGGGTAAATGTAGGTTTCCGCTAGGTTTCTGTTGGTTTCAGCTTAGATGAAATGGCAAACTTATAATTAGCTTTGTGCTGTTCCATTGGGGACTATATTTACTACTTATTGTTACATTTGCAAGATAATTTCTGTTTACAGAATCCAGTTAGGGTCAATGCAGGAAGCAAAAGTACTGTTCGTGCCGTAGTCCCTAGTATGTTGATCAACCTTCAGGTGTTGGCAATCTATAGCTCATTTTTATACTGTACCGGTAAAGTGCTTTTATGGTTACATGCCAGTTTTAGTGTACATTTGTGATAGATTAGTTATTTTACTGTCCTTCGAAGACAGGTAAGTATATAAGTTTGTTTTTATTTCATGTACACATTTACAAATTTAGAGTTACGACTTTCATAGTCACGATATGGCTACCGATGTGACTATGCAACTCACTCACTACCATTCTGCATAACTTGTGAATGTACAATTTATTACATTGTACCCGAAAAACAATGAAACACAGTGACACATGCACTGTTATGATTCATCTGTTTCATTATTGTGAATAGCTCACATTTCAACAGTACTCAACAAATGTGTGTGTCTGTCTGTCTGTGTGTCTGTCTGTCTGTGTGTCTGTCTGTCTGTCTGTCTGTGTGTCTGTCTGTCTGTCTGTCTGTCTGTCTGTCTGTCTGTCTGTCTGTCTGTCTGTCTGTCTGTCTGTCTGTCTGTATGTATGTATGTATGTATGCATGCATGCCCATATCAAAAGGGAATTTTCAGCATTGGAGAAACAAATTCTGTAATGTGAATATGCAAATACAAATATGTCAAAACCCTACAACATTTTATGCATATGATGAAATGAGGGTCTACTAGTGCAGGGCATAACATATTTGTTGTGGTATTTATAAAACAGATTTCAAATTCAAATTCAAATGTTTATTGTATGAAAGGTCATGGGCCCATATACATATACATGGGAAGTGTACATTTGAAGCTGTGTCTCAATGTATCTTAACATATACACACTAACAATCTCACATATTAAACACTTGGCAACTTGCTTACAACCATGAAGCTTCTGTTGCACTCACACTGAGCAGCCAACAATCCCTCTGATGTGGTAATACATATGACGCAGAGCCTTGAGTTGAGCCTGAGTTTTGCCACACAGAAAGGGGAAATATAACCAAGTTGATTACAACAAGGCTTGAACCAGTCCACAACCGCAAACAGATGGTGTATGCTCTACTTAAGATTCATTGGGTGAATATGAAGGAGTCCTGGTTGATGTCTGGCACAACATCGTTGCCATCCTTATCATCCCACACAGACTCTTCATCATCCTGCAAATACAATACATACAATGCTTAGTAAAACTGCAAAAACAGCCAAAGTAACACATTTTATACATATTCATAAACATGCACAGTGGGTACATCTGATCATCAATGAAATTATATAATTAGAACGACTAATTTGTATATGTAACCAAAAATATTTTTTTCCACAATCACAAAGGAAAGATATGTAGTATACATGTATATTGTATCTTCCATTTGACATGTCACTTATTTTATTGATTGGTACCAGAAAATAGCAGCCAACCCAGCATTCTGAAGCAAATTTGTTTGTAATATTTATTACTGTTACTGTACTCATATTCAACGTAACATCTACTACCAAATCGCCAATTGAAATCGAAGCATATAAAACGGTACATACATATTTTAAATAGATAATGAATTATGTTTAAACACTGAATGTAAACATTATAATTATATATGCGGGATCTTATTCAAATTGAAAATGACCAACCCTCAACTGAGAAAAGTATACAAAACCTAACATTTCCCATGAATGAAAAAAAATCGTGGGTATTTCTTAGTTTTATCAACTCTAAGGAAACATCATTCCCAGGCAATATATAGTAACATAAAATATTATTTTTTATGTGACCTTTTAATTTAATTTAAAACTGTAAATGTGTAACACAACCTATTCACTTTCAGTTACAAGCAGTAAGCATATCTTGGTATACAATAATTACACTCTTGCTCGACAACGGTATAAGAATCCATACACTAAAACGTCGCATCATATATGGGTAAAGCAGTTGTTATCCATAAACTCTCAATACTTTATTTGTCACCAACTTCCCCAAAATGCCAATCAATAAACAAATTATAATAATTAAATATATTCCATTACTGATATAAGGAATGGATAGCAAATTCGGATAGATCAAACTGTAAAGTCGTTAAATGAAACCTATGAAGTGAAGTATTTTGACTAACTCTGATGAGAAACTGCCGTCCATTCCCTAGACGATTCCTGTTTCCTTGAAACAAACGACTGGCAGTGCGGATAGAAAAATCCGCCTGGAAACTCTGAAAACATATCAACATATCTTAACTTATGAAAGTAACCCATATATAAATATATGTTAAACTTATGGTTACACTGGAACCACCGCACTGTTACATTTTGAGTGATTATATTTTTCACAAAGATAAAGAAATTTATCTTCATGCAATCTATTTAGTGTTTACTTGTTTTTGACTGAAATGCTTGCAGTGAATAAAAAATATTGTTTTAAGATTTCCTTTAAAGAAATTAGGAACTGTGGTATGGTGTAACTATAAATGATTACCAAGCCAAGCCTCTTGTCAATCTCCAACAAGTCAGTGGATCCACAATACGTATCCTGTAAATCAAATGAATTGAAACAATGGTTGATTCTTTTAGAAATGTTATACGTGACTCTGTGTCAATGCATTGTAAGGCTAAGAGGTTCAATAATTGATTACCTAGAATTATTACACAAAGCCAAGGAGTGTGCTAGCATATGTTATAATTGTTTTTAACGGTAATAAAACGATAAAAAGATGTAATTGGTGCATAATTGGATAAATACCGCCATATAGCTGGAATAATATTGCCGAGTGCGGCGTAATACTAAACTCGCTCACGTAGATATATTGACCTGACAGGCATCATATAATTAGATAAGTAAAGCTGGCAATAATATGTAATTCTACGTAGATCTACGTGTAGAGACTGAAAAGAATGAACATGATATAAGTAATGTCTAATACATTGTGCATGTTTTTTCTTTGAGGCTCCACAGGTAAAATTACTTACCTGGTGAGCTCTTACGTCCAGCAGAACGTATATTGCCCACCTCCTGACAGGGTTTCCTTTGAAAATCCCACCTATTTGCGCCAATTAACACAATCTCCTCAGCCAGCAGGACTCATGGAGCCCGATAAAGGGACTTTTAAAGTAACGTGAATATGTTTCTCAGATTTATTCACTTCTCTAGGCCTACATGTTGATGCTTGAATACACTGAGGGAGGGAGCAATTAGATTGCCCATAATGCGATGAGAGAAGACCCTTAAGCCCATACAAGCCCACTGTTGGGTACTCACATTCAATCTTGCTGCTCATTTGCACCTTTCACGGTCCCTTTGATGCCTCGGCTTGGTAAACAAAATAAAACAATGGCGACCGGATCAATGTCCACGCGAGACTACCTTAAATCATTATAAAAACACACAGCTGACATTTTATGTGTATAGTGTATGTTTATTCTTTGTTGTATAACGCGGAAAGATATTGTCAAACTGTAATGTTAGATTTAGATTGAAAAACAACAAGCAAAGCAAGGTTTTCCCCAGGAGCCTTTGCGAGTCGCGATTTTTCAAAGCCGCTTTCCGTTTCCTCAAAAGCACTGGAAAGAGAGAATTCGCTACCCGGAAAAGAAAGATGGAAATGGCCGGAAAACCGTGGAAAATTAATGACCCCTGTCAGGTAAGACCAATTTGTTTTTGTTGTCCAAATAACGTTTTATGAATTATTTACTTTACGTACAGATAATCCGGATTGGTAATCATCGCTGAAATCTATCTGAATTACAGCCCAGTGGCCATGTTATTGACGTAAATTGTAATACAAAAAACGCAAATTGTAATAATTTGCAGCAAATTGTAATAAACTTGACGTAAATTGTAATAAAACGTAAATTGTAATAAAAAATTGACGTAAATTGTAATACGCAAATTTGTAATAAAAATTGACGTCAAGTGTAATAATTTTCGTTGCGGTAAAATGCAATAATAAATATTTACGTAAATTGTAATAACAGTTTTAATCACTCGTAAAATGCACAAGGGTGTTTGTTTTCGTTGCATTTCATACATCAAATAAGCTGGTTGAGGGCGATAACCTCAAGAAAGAAATGATGGATTTTGTTCAAATTTGGTACCAAGGTATATTGGCGAGATTCACCGACACAAAGTGAAATGGAGTAACCTTGAGATAATTTTCCGGGTCACAGCAGCAAAAATCTGAGGGTTTGCCAATATAAAGATTGTCAACGCGA